GATTCTCCTCTTAGATTATTAGAAAAAGTGAAGGATAACATCCAAGTATGAGATAAACTGCTTCAACGGATCCCGCAGGATATCATTGATGAAATGTTAAACAGTTACAGGAACATTGCAAAGCCAAAGGCATGACCAAAGACTCAGAATGCCCATATCTGGTTCTAAAAGCAGTCTTCTATTTGTCTCCTTGACAAATGTGGATGAGGTTATATGCCCCCCTGTATATCTAGTTTGGTAAATACTTGGCAGAACGGAGTCTTTCCAACAGTTCAGAATTTAAGGGGACTGGGTAATGAAATTTATAGTAATTCAAATCCCTGTTATTGATACAGGGACACAAGATGTCTTTTGTTTTTTTGTTTGTTTTTTTTCCCCAACAAAGAACAGGACTGTCCTTGCAGGAGACTGAGTGTCTGATAAAGCCCATCTGTAAATTCTCATCAAGCCACTTACAGAGCACCTTTAATTCAGGTTTTCACAGACTAAAAATGCGATCAAACTGTATTTCTGCCCCTGGGACCTGGTCAATGGGACAATTATACGGGTGATGAGATAACAGATCTCCATTCTTTTTTTTAATTACAGACATCCTGGAGGAAGCTTGTCATACAAATGTGTGCCATACCATATAAACTTGTGATTTCTTGATCAATAGAGAATGTGTTTGACAAGGTTCTCTGCAGTGGTCCTTGCAATGGGGGGGAGGGGGACATAAAATGTGTTGTCTTCGCCCCCCCAGTTTATACAGGGATTATGGGTGGAAAGCCAAGAAATGTCCAGGATGACAGGAAATTTAGGTGATGTAATCAGCTGAAAGTTGTTATAAATTGTGTTGCAGTTCAGTGAGTAAAATAAGTATTTGATAACCTACCAACTAACAATAATTCTGGCTCCCACAGACTGGCTATGTGCTCATGTGATACACAGATTAGTCCTGTTGATTTAAGAAGGTTTCATAATGACAACTCGTTTTATGTATAAAAGACACCTGCCTACATATTCTTTCTTCCATTCAAACCTCACCATCATGGACAAAAAGCTGTCAAAGGACATCAGGGACAAGAGTGTAGACCAGCACAAGGCTGGAATGGGCTACAAGACCATCAGCAAGAAGCTTGGTGAGAAGGAGACAACTGTCAGAGCGATTAGTCTCAAATGGAAAAAATAGAAAATAACCATCAATTGCCCTTGGTCTGGAGCTCCATGCAAGATTTCACTTTATGGGGTAGGAATGATCATGAGAAAAGTGAGGGATAAGTCCAGAACTATACGGGAGTCGCTTGTGAATAATCGCAAGGCAATTGAAACCACAGTCACCAAACAAACCATTGGGAACACAATACACCACCATGAATTAAAATCCTGCAGTGCCTGCAAGGTCCCCCTCCTCAGGCACATGTACAGGCCCATCAGAAGTTTGCCAGTGAACATCTAAATGATTCAGAGAAGGATTGGGAGATAGTGCTGTGGCCAGATGAGACCAAAATTTAGCTCTTTGGCATTAACTCGACTCGCAGTTTTTGAAAAATGCTGACTATGACTCTAAGAACAACATCCCTACAGTCAAGCATGGAGGTGGAAAAATTATGCTTTGGGGCTGTTTCTCTGCTAAAGGTACAGGCCAACTTTGCCACATTGAGTGGCCAATGGATGGGGCCATGTATTGTAAAATCTTGGATGAGAACCTTCTTCCCTCAGCCAGAACATTGAAGAAGGGCCGTGGATGGGTCTTCCAGCGTGACAATGACCCAAAACATACCGCCAAAACAACAAAGGAGTGGCTCAAGAAGAAGCACATTAGGGTCTTGGAGTGCTTTAGCCAGTCTACAAACCTTAATACTATAGAAGAATTATGGAGTGAGCTGAAACTTCGAGTTGCCAAGCGACAACCAAGAAACCTTAAGGATTTAAAGAAGATCTGTAAAGAGTGGACCAAAATACCTCTTGAGATGTGTGCAAACCTGCTAATCAACTACAAGAAACCTCTTACCTCTGCTTGCCAACAAGGGTTTCTCCACCAACTAAGTCATGTTTTGCTTGAGGATCAAATACTTATTTTACTCACTAAAGTGCAACTCAGTTTATAACACATGTTTTTTCTGGGGTTTTGGATGATATTCTGTCTCTATCATTTAAAATACACCAATAATAAAAAATTATAGATCCTTCATTTCTTTGTAAGTGTGCAAACTTTCAAAATCTGCAAGGGATCAAATAATTATTTTCCCCACTGTATCTCCATATCAAGGAGCTGGTTTAGATCTTGTTTTGAATTTTTTGTGCTTCGGGCGAATTCCATGTCCATAAAGTTCCCCCCAGTCCTGGAGTCCAGCATAGAAGAGCAAGGAATTTCAAATCCTCCAAGTGATGAATTTTTAAAAGGGATGATAAAATGAGGTGGAGAATTTAATTTTATTTACTGCATGAATGAATGGGGAGACAGACTGTCAGCCTTTCTCAACCGGGGTGCCGCCAGAGGTCTTCAGGGGTGCCATGGGGAGAATGGCTGTCAACAAAGTGAAAGGGGACTGTCTTCTGTGCTCTCTGCCTCCCCCTAGAGTGCAGTAACCGGCTGTGTGATGGAAGCTGAGGTAGTGTAAATTTTTATAAGGCTGTATACATGTGCCTGTGTGTGTACTATATATGTGTACGTACATGTGTGGGTGTACACATATGTGTGTATTTTTGGTTTTTATATGTGTGTATATATATTTTACTTTTAATCTTGACCCCCCTGATCCTGTCCTTTCAGAGCTGCTTTTTTAGGACTTGTTCATAATAGCAGCAATCCATGCTCAGATCGCTTTTAGAGGCATTGGATAGGTGAAAAAGAGGCAATATGTTGCCTCCTCACCACCTGTTTAACCCCCGTAAAAAGCAACATCAGTCATCACACCACAACTGCGTGCAATGCGCACACAGTTGCGGGGTGCTTGTAGTTCAACCCCATTCACCTGGAAGTATACTTCCAGCTGTGGCAACAGCAGCCAAAAGGGAAGCAGTTGGGGGTGGTAAAAGCAGCTCAATTGCGTGGTTTTACCCCCCTCCAACCTCACAGGTGAACAGGCTTTCTCGATTGGAAAAAGGTTGAGAAACACTGGACCAAGTAATTGCATTTATTCGTTCAGGCACTATAACATCGGTCACAGAAATTTTTTTTATTTTACAGGTAACTGTGGAGAATTAACAGCATAATGCCCAGGGTCCTCACAATATAGACATAAGTTCTCTGAACATCTTCTCTTTCCCCTGAGTAGAAATTGATCTTTAATAGCACAAACCTGAATAGATTTGAGAGTGTTAGAATCCGTAGAAGCTTTTGTTTCCTTCTGAACAAACTGACTAGCAGGGAACACACATGCCACGATTACTTCCAAACTTTCACAGTCTCTCCTTCCTCCTCTCTCTAAGTCTATGATCAATTTGAATACATAATTGGATGAAAGCCTTGATCATGGGAGTTCTCTGGCAAGCTCGTATTTTCTCTTTAGTGAGCCCTTGGCTTAACTGGCTTTTTTGCGATGCTGGGTTCCAAGTGATATTTGAGATCAAATATTGGAGTTCAGCTGTGTACTCCGCAACTGAGCCATAGACTATGCAACTTTGCTTTGGCAGTAGCGCAGCAGTTAGGATCATCAAAAACTTGACTGATTGCGGTCATGAGACTCGGAATTATTCAGAATTCCCCTGTCCTATTGAATGTAACGAGAGACCCAAGCTAGAGCTTCCTCAGTTAGATGGCTGATAAACATAACAGAAGAAAATGCAGCAGGTTGCATCTCTAAATCTATACAATATTGGTTAAGGAAAACTCTGTAATAATGGCGGTCTAAAATAAAGTTTTAGTGGTAGAGGCATATATGCTTTGGAATCATCTCAGGAACGCAAGTCCGACAATTAGATCTGCAGAGCATGGATTTCTTCAGTTGCCCTTTCAACACACATTCCAGTTTGGAAAAATTATCTTTCCATGTTTGCTCCAGATTATTCTGTCATGGTCGGGTTTGACTCAGGAGCCAGTGGCTATAGCAGTGGGAAGGCTCACACAGAAACCAACAGGATAAATACACTAACAGTTTCCCCTGGCGAGTGAAGTGGACTCACCCGAGGCACAGAGTTTAGGCGCTAACTGGTCTTCATCAGAGCTCTTGATGGTGGAAATGGGTTACGCTGTGTACTAGTGCCAGGCCGTGGTCCTCTGGATCGTCCCACCAGGAGGTTAGCAAGCCAGGGTGAGGTAGCAGGTGGGGATCAAGCAGAAGTGTAGTCACTAAAAAGGCCAAAGGTCAGTGACAAGTGGTTGCAGGTTGGGATCAAGCGTAAGCGTAGTCGAGTAACAAGCCAGAGGATGTCAACACATGGATTGGATGGCAGCAGGAGTGTAAGGATCAAGATATTGGCTGGAGAAGAGCAAAAAAAATCTGACAAACAAAAAAGGCACAAACTTGGCTTAAATAGGAAGTTCAAGAAGTGGAAGAGCAAGGAGTTAAAGTTTTACCAGAAATAAGATATGCAGTAAAGTGGTCGAAGGGATCAAGCAGGGACATGCAAGGCTGCACTAGATTCTGTGTACCCAAGTTTTAGTAAATCCACCATTGTGTGAGGAGACTGCTCTTAATTCCTCGATGGCCTGATTGTTGCATCCGTTGCATTTCAGGCTGCGTAAGTGCAATATTGTACATGCAAGCCAAATTTCAGGGGAAAAGTACAACGCATGAAAGGCTGATTTGCATAATGTTGAGTTTTTCTTCTGTGACCGTATAATTATTCCTTGGCATCTGTAGTTGGAAAGCGTGAATCTATTCTTCATGCCTGTTAAAAAAATGCTTGTGAGAACATAGTTTTCATATGATCTCTCCTAATTAATGAGCTAAGTTAACAGTTTTGAATCCAAACTTAACAGCTGTTCCTCTGTATTGTTGGTTATTACACTAACAGAAACATAATAATACAATACTAAGTTAACAGTGCTTTGTTTTTTTATTTTCTCTCCACAGCAAACATTGGCTTGTTCCATATTAACTGCACTACTTATAGAGTTTTCAAGTTCCAGTAAAACGAGTAATATTGGCCTCAGTATGGAATTTCATGGGAACTGCAAAAGAATATTCCAGGTGAGATTTTCTGAAGTTTGGGGATGTAAATGTACGAAGATTTTGTACAATGAAACATAAATTGTAGATTGCACATGTATACTGTAATGTCATGGAACCACTATCTAAATGTGACAAGCAGAGATAGACTATCAATGCATTTTGAACTGTGTAAGATAATTATGAGAAATTTTACTAGTGTAGCATTGGAATGGACAAGATTTCTTTCATTGGGGAAAAAACTAGACATAGTTATATATGAAATTAGTTTTACATACAAAAGTAGTAAAGCTGGTCTTCTGTTTGTTGAAGCAGTTGCAGACACTCCACCCTTGACCTCCAGCTAATGCGTTTCACCCACCACACTTACTCCCTTTAGTGGAGTGGGCACTGTGTAGGTGGTTTTGAACTTAAAATCTGTGAGTACCACTTTGCAAAGGAGGAAAGATATAGCACAGAGGATAAAGGTAGTTTGACCTAGGTATGGTTGCTGCCTACCATCTCAAGTCATTTTTCTTTTGCCTGTAGGGGTATCCAGGAAGGGAATTGTCTCCCCTGTTAGTCTTAGAAACCTAGAGGGGTGACAGTAGAAAAAAGACCAATCGGTTTCTTCGTCTGCCCGATTTTATTTTATTTTTTTTATTCATTTTTTTTTTTTTTTTAATCCCTTTTTTTTTTTTTTTTTTGGGTAACTTTTTTGTCTGAGTATAGATCTGTTTGTCCCAAGCATCCACTTACTGTTGACTAACTCACTACCTCTGCTGGAAGAGTAAGTGCCAACTACTCTTTCGGTAAAATACTTTGAGATTGAAAATACTGCCCTCCTGAATCTTTTTCACCCCCTTGATGTGTTCAAAGGTTTCAGTCATGTTCCCCCTTTCCCTTCTTTCCTCTAGACCAGGGGTCTCCAAAGTCTGGCCTGTGGGCCACATCAGGGCCCGCTGGTATGTTTTCTCCAGCCCGTAGCTCGCCATGACTGACCTCAGATTGAGTGCACTGCCAGTCAAGGCTTGCTTTTGCTAACACACCAGCTGCTAGCAGTATTCAGAGCAAGTTCCTGCCAAGTCGCAGACTTTTTAGGAGTGATTCCATTAACTTGAACACAACAGATGTTAAACTCATTGGCCTGTAATTTCCAGCTTCTATCTTGCCTACCCATCTTGTGGATAGGTATAAGACAGTATTCGGGGTGGTGGCGGCATCCTCCTGTGTTACAACATTCCTTTTGCTTAAGTAAAAAAGAGTTTTCTGCTCCAATGTCCTCCCTTAGAAATGGCTACCTTTAAAAAAGATCATCCAAGGCGGCTGGGAGGGCGTACCGCAACAGGATTCATCCACTGACTCGAATAATTCCTCTTTTGAAAACGCCATTATGATGTAAGTTCACAGATGTGTCAAACTGGACTCTGCTGCCCCTACAGGGCCCTAAGATGACCAGTATGGGGTGTAGGAGCCAGAAGAAGCACCATACTATGTTCCCTGTATGTGCCTTAGTTAAGGATGTTTTTTATGAGGGCTGTAATCGCAGACGTATGTTACTGACAAAGACTTCTGTAAGAAATAGGTTGTTCTGGAGGTTGATCAAGCTATTTTGTGCCTCATTAAGCAACTCTCAGTTGTGGTTGAAGACGTTTTCAACTTTGAGGGACCCAACAGATAACCATTTTGTAACCTTGCTCTAGGCTTTCTTCACCCTATTTGGCCTAACTGCTCAGCATGTTGTGGTAGTGATGGCAGTATGTCAGTGGTGGTATTGCTGCCAGTTCCTCAGCTAGAAGTCAGCTGAGCAGGTGCAAAGAATTCTTTAGAGCAACAAAGGAAGTGCTGCACCCCCAACATCCCATAAGGATACATTGCTACCATTCCTGAACCGGTGGTTCGCCAGCCTCTTCAGGACTCCAGCTACCAGCTCTTCAAGCAACGCCTGCTGGCAGTCTTGTTCCCCTGGTCCCTCGGCACCCTCTGTTCCACTTCCAGTGGTGTCAGGGCTAGTGACACAAGTGAGGCTGACCTCGTCAATTCATTCTCCTATCAGGTACGTGACAAGGGGACATTAAACAGGAAAAAAAAGTCCACTGTTAACTTTGTGGATGCAGCAGCCATGTAGTTTCCTGATCACATTCACAAAGCTGTACTGGGGACTGTGACGGAGGTGTGGGTGGGACAGAACACACACGGAGAGCAGTGGGCACACAAGGTTTTTGAGTGATTTGGGGCACTTGACCGGTATAAGCAAGGGTTAAGTCCGGGGCACACAGAAGGGGGCAGTTCAGGCAGACAATGGGTAAGTCCAAACACCCAGCCGAGGGGCAGTTCAGGCGGACAATGGGTAAGTCCAGGCACACAGCAGAGGGGTAGTTCAGGCGGGCAACGGGTAAGTCCAGGCACACAGCAGAGGGACAGTTCAGGCGGGCAACGAGTTAGTCCAGGCACACAGCAGAGGGGCAGTTCAGGCGGACAATGGGTAAGTCCAGGCACACAGCAAAGGGGCAGTTTAGGAGGACAATGGGTAAGTCCAGGCACACAGCAGAGGGACAGTTCAGGCGGGCAATGAGTTAGTCCAGGCACAGAGCAGAAGGGTAGTTCAGGCGGGCACTCAGCAGAGGGGCACAGCAGAAGGCAGGATGTCCGGGCACTCAGCAGAGGGGCACAACAGAAGGCAGGATGTCCGGGCACTCAGCAGAGGCCCCAGCAGAAGGCAGGAGGTCCGGGTACTCAGCAGAGGGGCACTTAGCAGAGGGCAGGAGGTCCGGGCACTTAGCAGAGGCAGGAGGTCCGGGCACTTAGCAGAGGGGCACAGCAGAAGGCAGGAGGTCCAGGCACTCAGCATAGGGCAACTCTGGCAGGCAGGAGGTCTGGGCACTCAGCAGAGGGCAGTTCACATGGTAGCAATCCAGGGACTCACCAGCCAGCAGTAGCCTCAGCAGAGGAAGTCTAGGCAGATAGGCACCAACTCCTCACGGGTCTTCAGAGGGCTATGTGTCTTGGCCGCAGGTTCAAGTCTACACAGGCAATATAGGACCACAAGTTCCAGCAGTGCCCAAAGCAAACCACAGTTCAATGCATCTCCTAGTTAGGTCTCAGCCATGAGTGGCTCTGTCCATCCTGACTCAAGCTCTCCCATTCTAAGAGTCCTTCTCCCCACAAGGTCCTTTCCATTTCCCCCAAGCCTCAAGTCCCTGGTGCCGACACGTCTGGCTTTTCACAGCCCCAGGAAACCATGCTATCTGCGCTCCCTGCTGGGACAACTCTCACCTCCCACCCTGTGAGGGGCACAGGAACTTCAAATTATAAACAAAGCATACAAGCTGACTGTTGGCCACACCTGTTAACAAAACAACAACAAAAAAGAAAATATTTCTGCTGTCCATCACAGGGAGTGACACAAGCACCGGATTAAACCAGCAGCTTTTTATCTGCTGATTACATTAATTTAGTAAAATGCAGAGGGTGGGGTTCTATGTGAAAAAATATTTAGGTTTCATGAAGCTATCAAGCACAAAATAACAAATAAAGGAGCTTTCCCAACCCTGTGGAAGTCAATAAAGCCATAAGCCCAGGAACAGTTAAAATCGAAATTCACTTTAATGTTAGGTTAAAAAGCATGAAACGTAGGAGTGCGCAAACACGCCATCTTGGTGATCCTGGCGGCTGCCATCCACATACAGTTGCAAGAAAAAGTATGTGAACCCCTTGGGATTACGTGGAGTTTTGAATGAATTGGGCATAAAATGTGCTCTGAACATCATCTAAGTCACAACAATAGAAGAACACAGTCTGCTGAACATAATACTACACAAACATTAGATGTTGCCATAGTTTAATTGCACATAACGCGTAAAAATTCACAGTGCAGGGAGGAAAAGTATGTGAGGCCTTAGCTTAATGACTTCTCCCAGAGCTAATTGGAGCTAGGAGTGAGCCAACCTTGACTCCAATCAGTGTGATTATATTGGACGTGTTGCTGACAGCTGTCCTGCCTTAAACACAAACCTGTTTTGGGTTTACTGGTTTCAAGAAGCACTGTCTGATGTGAACCATGCTTCGCAGAAAAGAGCTCTCAGAAGACCTACGATCAAGAATTGTTGACTTGCATGAAGCTGGAAAGGGTTACAAAAGTATCTCCAAAAGCCTTGATGTTCATGTGTCCACGGTAAGACAGACTGTCTACAAATGGAGAAAGTTTAGCACTGTTGCTACTCTCCCTAGGCGTGGTCTTCCTGTAAAAATGACTGCAAGAGCACAGCGCAGAATGCTGCATGAGGTAAAGAAGAATCCCACAGTGTCAGCTAAAGACCTACAGAAATCTCTGGCACATGCTAACATTTTTGTTGACACATCTACAATAAGGAAAACATTAAACAAGAATGGAGTACATGGGAGGACACCACGGAGGAAGCCATTGCTGTCCAAAAAGAATATTGCAGCACGTTTGAAGTTTGCAAAAGAGCACCTGGATGTTCCACAGCACTACTGGCAAAATATACTGTGGACAGATGAAACCAAGATTGAGCTGTTTGGGAAGAACACACAACACTATGTGTGGAGAAAAAAAGGCACAGCACACCGACATCAAAACCTCATCCCCACTGTAAAACATGGTGGAGGGAGCATCATGGTTTGGGGCTGCTTTGCTGCCTCAGGGCCTGGACGGATTGTTGTCATTGATGGGAAAATGAATTCCAGAGTTTATCAAGACATTTTGCAGGAAAACGTACGACCATCTGTCCGCCAACTGAAGCTCCGCAGAGGATGGGTGATGCAACAGGACAATGACCCAAAGCATACAAGTAATTCAAGTCCTGACTTCAACCCGATTGAAATGCTGTGGCATGACCTTAAGAGAGTGATTCACACCAGACATCCCAAGAATATTGCTACACTGAAACAGTTTTGTGAAGAGGAGTGGTCCAAAATTACTCCAGATCGTTGTGCAGGTCTGATCTGCAACTACAGGAAACGTTTGGTTGAGGTTATTGCTGCCAAAGGAGGGTCAACCAGTTAAGTCCAAAGGTTCACATACTTTTTCCTCCCTGCACTGTGAATGTTTACATGTTATGTGCAATTAAACCATGGCAACATCTAATGTTTGTGTAGTATTATGTTCAGCAGACTGTGTTCTTCTATTGTTGTGACTTAGATGATGTTCAGAGCACATTTTATGCCCAATTCATGCAAAACTCCACGTAATCCCAAGGGGTTCACATACTTTTTCTTGAAACTGTACCCTTTCCACTGTCCAGAGGCTCCTGGGGTGAGCAACCTACTGTTGAGTCCAGGATCATGTGTCATCTTGCAGCTTCTGGGAATATGTGTTTCTCCTCTCCACTGGCTTGGTGATGTATTAATCTGGGCATTCCTACTTCTCATGCTTTTTAACCAAACATTAAAGTGAATTTTGATTTTACCTGTTCCTGGACTTGTGACTCTATTGACCTCCACAGGGTTGGGAGCTCTTCTTTATTTGTTTTGTGCTCCTTTCTCATTGCTGGTCAGATGAGTTGTTGGAGTTGCCAATACTGTGGTTATCTACATATTACCTAGAACCTCACTACGCTTGGTATTAGCACTTTTTTTTTTTTTTTTTTGAAGTGATCAAGTGTTTACATGCTTGGAAAATGCAGTTGGAATAAGGGTTACAAATCTGGCCTGCTACAAGAAGTTCTCTTCCACTGTTTCCCTTAGGACTGGTTCACCCCAGAACACACGTTTTTACGCGTTCTGTTTTGACACCCCATTAATTTTTCTAATGGGCTGCCAAATGCATGGAATGTGCAAAAGTGTGGAGTACCATGTGGCTTGATGGCTGCAAATGCACTGCATTTGTTAGATGCATTTGGGGGTGCCATTAACTATAATGGTACCTGTGTGTGTCTACCAAATGTAGGGTGCTCCTAGGTGGTTTGGGAAATGCATGTTTCCCACTTTTCCTTCTGGTGTGATCAGACTGTTAGTGGCAGTGAAAGGTTAAAATTGGTGAATTACATTTGGGTAAAGGTGATAATAATTTGCATTCACCCTTTTCTAAGATATCTAAACTGATTAGGAAATTAGTTCACATAAATTTATAATTTTGTAGCAAGGAAATCTAAATATCTAAATTGAAAAACAAAAGGTTGCTTTAGCTTTGTACAAAGAAGTGGAAGTTTAAAATAAAAATAAATCGCACAATTTGATGTCACTCTTTATGTAATGTTCATTGCTTAGTCCTATATGTTACTTTTCTATTGTGACAGCTAGACCATTGGCACAAGAGATGAAAGGTACAGTAGTTGGATCTTTTGTTTTCAAGGAATGACTTCTGAGAAATGTATCTGTCTGCCCAGTATTTCTGTTTCTTTTCCGCGACACCCGATCCTGGTGTTGTCAGGCTGCTATTTTCACTGGTGTGGCACTACTTTGCTGCACACAGAGAGCCAACACATTCTGCCTAACAATGACTGCCTTAAAATAACGTTGGCCACTAGCCAAAACTATCGCTTCAACTATTTTTCCGGTTGCAGATGGCCAGCTTGTCTTGGATGCATTGTTCTGCTCTTGAGAAGTGCTTGACACCATAAAACTGTCCTTGGAGAACAAGGGAGCTTTATGTCTGGAGGAGCGTCAAGAATACCACACTTATTAAAGGGTTAGAGGACAGTGTACCTAGAGGCAGGGGGTTAGGCCATAGCCAATTACTTATCTGAAGAAAGACAATACAGACATGGCATATTTGTTCTTAGGGGGCTGGTATCCAGAATATTTAAGAAACAAGAGAATACGGTATCCCCTGCTGGTTAAGACATGTTCTATGCTCATGTTCTAGTCGTCTTAATTATAATAATTCAGTACAGCAGGTGCATGGATGGTGGGAGAATGTATGTACATGTGTAGATTTATTTTATAAGGCATTGTAAAAGATCATTAATAGTCTGTCATCCAAGGCAAGCAGAGCTTATTTGGGTATAACTTGTCTAGTAAAATATTAAAGATGATGTATATCCAAAATATCCAAAAACTCTCAATTTTTGGATAGAGAAGGGAATAGTTGAACCTTGCAGGGGGTGTTTATTGCTGTCTTTATACCATTGGGGAAATTTCCTTTCACTTCTATTCCAGAGATGCAACAGGAATTTAGAGGAAATCTCCCAAAGTATGAACTGGGAAAGGACTTGCCTATAAAAAGTTTATGGGAATACAAACCCTGCTTGAAGCAGGTCAAATCGGGGTCGGCTGCAAGTCAGATGCACCTGCTATTGAGTTCAGATGATCTCAGAAGTGTGTCAAACTGATACCTTTGACACAAGCCCAAAGGCCATTAATAGAAGCTCTTCACACCTGCTTTGGCGGAACTCTCAACCTCCAAACATTTATTGTAATCCACTTATTTTTGCCATATTTTTCCCACTTTTCCTTGTTAGATTGTTTAACTACTTGCCTACCGGGCACTCTTACCCCCTTCCTGCCCAGTCCAATTTTCAGCTTTCAGCGTTGTCGCACTTTGAATTACAATTGAACGGTCATGCAACACTGTACCCAAACAAAATTTTTTTTTTTTGACACAGAGCTTTCTTTTGGTGGTATTTAATTACCACTGGAGTTTTTATTTTTTGCTAAAAAAGACTAAAAATTTTGGGGAAAAAAAATTTCTTAGTTTCTGTTATAAAATTTTGTAAATGACTAATTTCTTTTGTTCAATGAAGTGCACTAATGAGGGTGCAGTGATGGGCACTGATAGGTGACACTTGTGGGCATTGACAGGCATCACTGATGGGCACTGAGGGGCAGCACTCACATATGAGCGACGTGGACGGGTGGCAGTGGTAGGCACTGATGTGGCATTGATGGGCACTGACAGGTGACACTGATGGGGCTACACTGATCATCAGGGCAATGCACGGCCATGCTGTTTTCAAATTTGACAGATCGTATGGGGAGACTTCTCATATTATCTGTCAGAGGGGGTGGGGGGTGGCGGGCAGTGGCTATGGAAACATGATACATGTTACACCCTAACAACGGGTGGAACATGTGACATGTTCCCAAAGGTGAACTTATCCTTTAACCACCTTCCACCTGCCATATAGTACAATGACGGGAGCAAGGTGGTTCTCTCGTTCTGATAGGACGTCATATGACGTCCTTCCATTCTCACCGCGCCTCCCATAGTGTAAAAACACTTTATTGGATAAACAAAAAAAGTTCTAAAATTGCACTTACACCATGTCACAAAATACACAGCATACACAGTAATATGGACCAAGAAGCTCTGCTGGCTCTTCAACGTGCATGTCAGCTAACTGGAAGTGATGTAATGGAAGTCCCGCCCTGGGGACCAAACAAAGGTGAAAAGGAGCCGGCTGTACTGGTGCTTGAGACATCTTTGAGGATACCATTCCTGGCTGCAAGGAGTTCTGGGCTTTTCAGTTTGGGCCCAAGTGATGATTACAGCCACAAGCATTTTTTTACTTTTTTTGGTAAGCAAGGGGTCAAAATCCTTCTGGTGAACGTGGTTAAATTGGTCTGGTAACTGAATTATTTTGATGTGGCACAATGGAATTGGAGCACCATTTGTTACTTATTTTACGAAGACGTGGGTGAAAGCACATGGATCATCAAGCATATTAGTGGGACTTTATTTGGACACTTTTTTTTTTATATATTTGACTCACATTTGAAATAATTGCAAACATTGTTTAGTGGTATTTTCATGTTTAATAATGCTGTTGGTGTTTGATTAACAGCAGCTGCACATATCTAGTTCATGTACCTTTTAATCCTTTTCACTTTTTGGAACGGGTGTTTAATTTTATGAAGAAAGACTGCAAAATTGTATAACCGAAACGAAGAAAAATGTGTGTGTGTGGGGTGTCCTGAATTTTCAGTATTTTTGTTTATATAGCACAAAATAAAAAAAAACCCACTTGTGATTAAATACCACCAAAAGATGGCTCTAGTTGTGTGAAAAGAAATTATATACATTTCATTTGGGTACAGTGTTATATGACCCAGCAATTGTCAGTTAAACACACACAATGCAGAATAACAAAAAATGCTCTGGTCATGAAGGGGGTAAAACCTTCTGGAGGTCAAGTGGTTAATAAAGTATTCATGTTTTACTACACCATTGGTGCTGCACTGTCTTCTCCCTGCCCCTCTTGTGTTTGACAGGTAGAGTCCCGCTTCCACATTAGACAGCAGTGCAATCATTAGTGCTAGAACATCCTTGTATAGTTTATAGGCTACCCGCTCTGTTTGTTCATGATTTGTGTTTCATGTATGTTTTCTTACTTCGGATTTTGTGAGGCATTCAAGATTCACCTTTTATATGTTGTAGTGTTTAGTTGGGGTGCTTACATGTCATTATCCCATCGCTATGTACCTTAGGGTGCAGGGCTGCTTGTTTTGTTTTGAGAAAATATAGAAAATTGTGAGATTTATTTCTTCTGATATTGACTTTTTTTTTTTATTATCTCAGTTTGTCTTTCAGTTTTTGATGGTATTATTTATTGCAGTGTGAGACTTGATCCATTTTTTTGGCTTAAAAGCCTCAGAGGATAATGGCAAGAGTATGACATCGGGAGAGCTGACAGTTTATAACAATTCGATGGTTTCTAATACAGTAATGAGCTTTCCTCTTTTGCAGGAAGAGGATCTCCGCAGGATCTTCATGTTAACGATAGAAGTTTTACAAGAATTCAGCCGGCGGGAAAACCTCAGTGCACAGATGTCCTCTGTATTCCAGCGCTACCTTGCACTAGCCAATCAAGTTTTAAGCTGGAATTTTCTGCCTCCAAATTATATCCTTTTACTTTGTATTTTTTTAGGGCTCTCACTACTAGTGTGAGAAATGTCTTTATTGCCTGTAAGTGAAATTATGACATGTTAGACATTGTATATATTTCTGAATGGTGTCTGCATTGAATTGAAAAGAAGAACTATAGTATATGGTGTAACTATTTTTTTCACAAGCGAAAACTGCATTAATCAGCAGTTTTTAAAGTACAATGACTTATTGAGAATCATGCTCTGTTAATAGTCCTAAGTATCACTGTCAGTGACTATGAAAGTGAGGGTAAATACAACATTTTTAGCTGTCTACAAAACAGGAATATAGGGCAAATCTTCCACTGAGGATACTTCTTTTTATCTTTTTATTACAAATGTCTTGGGAATTGCCCTAATGAGAAACATATTTAAAAAAAAAAAAGTGGATTAGTCCTACTGTATCCAAAAGAATATTTACAGTATACATTGAGATATATAGGTAGAGACTATATGGAATATATATATATATATATATATATATATATATATATAGTGTGTGGTTTTTATTGTACTTTGTGGTTTTGTGTAGGTGGGTCAGTATAATATTATACAGTATTTATATAGCGCCAAACAGTTTGCACAGAACTTTACAATATAAAGGGGGACAGTACAATTATAATACAGTTGAACACAGAATATTAGGTCCGTGCTTTTGCAGCATAGTCATTTTATTTAGAAAACCTTTACTTTCAAGTTACAAGTATCCAAAACAGGGTACTAATTTGCACAAATCATTGTTACGAGTATGTTTAGGAACAAAATCGGGTCTTTGTCAATTACTGGAGCTGGGAATTACGCATTCGACTGGTATTTGAGAAATGGTAGTATTCTGAATTAAAAAAAATATTCTGCATTACATAATGGATAACATTTTTTTTGTCTAGTATTATGGAACCTAAACAATTTTTTTTTTGTCCAAAATATTTATATTTCTGGTCACATGTACATCGATGTTCTTGTGTTAGTCTTTTTCTACCTTTAAACATAAGTAAAGTAACTTTTTATAGAGGATTTTGGGAAAGTAGTTTAGTATAACTTCTGTATGTTTATATACATCGCTGTATGTTATGTTCTGTAATAGTAGTTTTGAAGCTGCTTGGTCCTGTGCATTAATGGTGTTTTTTGCCCATGGTTGCTAGTGACTACGTAAAATGGCAGCATTTGAATGATATCTGTTCTGAGAATTTTCATTTTATTAAAAAAAATAAAGTCAAATTGCTTCTAAATATTCCTCATTGTGGTGAAAGTATTCATTATGGACTTAACAGTCCTCTGGTAACTATAAAATTGAACCTTGCAATGACCAAAGCCCCCTCCCATCAGTGCAAAGGTAAATGCCTGTTTTGTCTAGGGAGTAAAAAGGTGATATGCTTACCTTATTCTTCACTCCTGAAGGCTTCCTTCTGTTCCTTTATCCGGTCCTGCAGAGTCCCTTCTTTTTGCTGTTCGACTGGTTGCAGCTCTTCCAAGTTATCAATTACAGTGCAGGACCAATGGTCCTGCTTTGTAGGTGAGGGCACAAAGAACCCACCCGAATCCTGGGAGCGTCTGAGAATGGAGAAGAGCATTGGCTGCTGGGTAACTAGGAATACGTATTGTGCCATTTCTGTCTGCCTAAACTAAATGAACATTTAACCCTTGCAGTGCAGGGGATGCTGCTAAAGTGTTACATTTTACAGTAAACCAGAGTTCAGCTTTGCTTGGTAACACTACTGTAAAACAAAAAGCTAATGTAGAAAGCTTGCAAAGTAGTTGATTCAGTCCTTTTGTGTTTCCACGTTCTTTTTCATCTATCAGTATTATTTGGGGAGCAATAACAGAGGTGAAGATTTGATGTCCGAGGACACAAGATAAATGTACAGGCTGATGAAAGTGTATGAGAAATGCCTTCAAAATTTAGTGATATACTGAGGCAATTGTGGAGGGTTATGTGAATACCCAGTTTGAGTGGAGTGCAGTGTTCCATATGACCTGCATTATTGTTCTAGTATTGTCATTACAGGATGCCTTTGCTTGGCCCCCTCCTGTGTCACATGTTTATAAGATGTGACTTTCATACCTCTAGTATAAATAAATCTGGGTATTGTATTACTTTTGTCTCTGCAAAGCCCTTTTGATATTATTGTGTTTCAAGCATCCTTTGGAGTCCTTTTGGCAGACCTCATTGTAGTTGAGCAAAGGACAATGCACTATAGGAATGTTTCAGCCAACAGAACGCTCCTTTTAAAGTGAAGATTGGGCAGCCTACATTAGCAGGGCTGTGTTATAGAAATTGTGTACATCATTAGCACAGGCGATCTCGTCCACCCCTTCTCTTCCACCAACATTCACCCCACCAGTAGTCATAGGGGTATCCGAAGATGATAGATCTTTGTTACTTCATGCAGAAAATAGTGAGCTTAATTCCTGGAATAATTATATATTTAAAAATTGGTTATTTTCGAAGTTCTAAATCTCTGTTAGTTTCCATTTACACTGAAGCTTAAATTTCTAATGATGTTTTCTTGTTCCATTCTTCTGTAAAGGAGTACTTCAGTACTATTTAATGGATAAGTTCACCTTTGGGAGCATTTTTCCACTGTTTTTAGGGTGGAACATGTTCCTGATCCTGCAGCTGCTGCCCCTCTCCCTGTGACAGAAGTACGGGGGGGGAGAACTCCATGCTAGCTGTCAGTTTTCAAAAACAGCACGGCCGTGTGGGGTTCCACCCACATGGCCGCAGCATTCATCATTCACAGTGTACTATTAATTAATGGACTACAAGTCCCAACGGCATTAGCGGCTGTTGGCTTATAGTCCTCAATTAACTACCATGGTGCTGTGAGTGCTATGGTAGTTCATTAATTCTTCCTGTCAAAAAGTATCGTCTTGCCCGTACGGGATGTACGTGCAGGCAGATACACTGACCGTGTGCAGGTGACCTGCATGGCATCAGCTATATGCTGATCACTGGTGCAATTCTTTACAGGCTCCTAACACAAAAAATAATAAATGCACATTTTTGTAATGTATATTTTTTGTGGAAATGTGAACTTATCCTTTAAGTTGTCCCACCTATACAACCATTTTGTAACAGAGCAAATTTTACATTTCTGCTACGGGCTGGTTTATTCAATAAATTTGTCATTAATAATTTGTCTACAATAGTAAAGTAATACTCATTTTTTCAGGAAAACAAGACTTTCTTCTGGTTGTGTTGCCTTGCAAGAAATTATCATCTGTTCTATGTTCTCCATAGACTGAAAAATGTAGCAAAACTTTAAAAAAAAAAAAAAAGCCCTTATTTTTTAAAGATCTATTTTTGGATTTTACCTTTTTTTTTTTTTTTTTTTTTTTGTTTTTTACACAAAACCAAAAGAGAACAAAATCAATCAACTGTGCAGTGTCTCTCAATTCTCAGAAAATTGCATGAACTACATCAGGAATGTATAGATGGTCTGGGCACTACAGTACAAAACTTTACATTAGTCCACTATGTGGAAACAATGTAATCAACAATAAAATACTAATTTTAGTATCCTGGATTTAGAGAGCTCAATGCGAGGAGGTTAGAAATCCACTTACCCCAAATCTTATCAAATAGGTTTGTTTTAATTCCTAAGTTGGAAGGTAAGTCAATACAAAGGAAGGTAGCCGTTAGTTTCTAGGTAAGACTGCCCCTTTCCAGGATTATAAAAATAGTTTCTTTTCTTTTAGCAAAAAGTATAGGATTTTTCACAACCTTAGCATGTTTATAAACTCTCAAGTCCCCAACTGTTCCCAGGAGAAAGTGTTTTTTTTTTTTTTTTTTTTTTTTTTTAGGATGCAGAATATTGGGTGGACAGAAAGTGTAAAAGATGAAGGAACCTAAACCTTTTTTGTTTTTTTTTGTTTAATTTTACTTAAAGATTTAGGTTGATCAAGCATTTTGACATGCTATGCTTCTCTTAAAGCATATTCAAACACAAGAACCAACATTTATTACATTATAGTTTGCTTTTTTTCAGGCTTTTCTCCTTTATTTTCACTTGTGAGTAACATACTTCATGTCCTATAATGGTAATGCTTCCTTTTCCTGCTGTGGTTGCTGCTGAGGCTGAATTTCAAACATGGCTTTCTTTGTGCATCTCTATTACATGGGGTGGGGGGATAGGTTTAGTAGTTTACACAAATGAGGCATCTTCTGTACATGGTAAAAATGTTCTTGGAAAAATAAACGAATTTGGCCTCTGCAGGACCTGTAAGGACCAGTAAGCTTCAGCACATGGCATCTTTCTTTGTAAGTTTAGATATACTTTAAAAAATTATAAGTATAATTCCAGGCAAAACCTAGCTACATTTGAAAATGCTCCCTCCCTCTTCCTACCTTTATTTCAACTAACCTGTGTAAGAATTGTCACATTTTAGCTGACTAAAACGTTCAGGCAGCAGACAGAGGGAGCCTCTGTCTGTCTCAGCCAATACAGCTTGCCGATAGTCGGGGCTGGGGTTTTAACAAATAGCTGGAGCTCCAAGAAAATCTGAAGTTCAGGTGAGTAAATGTCCCTCCCTCACATTTTTGCTCCGTTTGACCCAAACCGATACTTTGCAGTGCGATTTGCGTCAGTACAAAATGTATGGACACAATATGCACTGCAAAGAATAGCATGCGATTTCCCCACTGCTCCTGTGTGAACCCAGGCTTGTCAAACAGGAGTGGGGCAGGAAACCTTTCTGCACCGATACCATGCTGAGCAAGTGAGCGGAGGGTGGGAGAGAATGGCGTGTGGGGGAGAATGGCGTGAGGATGTATACACTGGTATTGCCTATCAGGCAGAGGATGGAGGCAAATGCTCCAGATTCTCAGCTGTAGGAGTTGAGAGAGAGCTACGGGGATTTGAAATCCCCGTGGCTTTCTATAATCTTGCAGGGATGACAGCATGGGATATATGGCTTTTGATTGGTCAGCACTGTGACCAGCTGAGAATCTGGAGGATTGCGGCTGCTTTCTCTTCTTTCCTAAAACTGAGAAATCCGGAGCATCTGCCTCTATCATCCAATGGCTGACACCAAGGTATACACCCCCACAACGTCCTACTCTCCACTCAGTATGGGATTGGTGCAGGGAGGTTTCCAGCAGCGCTCCTGTGTGAATTTAAGCTATGACAGGTCTGGGTTCACACAGTAGCAGTGGGGAAACCGCATAAGATTTAGACAGGAATCACATTCCTGTTCAAATTGCATGTTATTCTTTGTGGTGCAATTTTGCATCCATACATTTTGTATGGATGCAAATTGCACTGCAAAGTACGGTGCTGTTTCGCCAAGTACTTGACCAAAAGTATTGGTACTCGCCTCTCAAAAAATGGTATTGGTGCATCCCTAATTTTGGCATAGATTTTGTCAATTGACTTCATTCTAATTTTATTTTTGTTTAGTTTTCGTCCCTGAAAACATGCAGCTGATGAAAACTAAGATGAAAATATTTTGTATACTTGCCTCTTTTAGGCTGCTGCAGTCTGGTCATATGATCTGGCTCCTCTGTATCAGTCAGCAGGGGGCTGCAGAGGAAAGGAGGGAGTGCCAAGATAAGAGAGGGCCATAGGAGCCAATGAGTGACATCACACTGCTCCCAGGCATTACCAATCATTGTTGAGCACTCTCTTCCTCCTTTTTAGGAGCAGGGAAGGAGCATTATAAAGAGTAGTTAGTTTGCCTGGAATTCTACTTTTAAGAATTCTAGATTCTGTGTAATGAACTTTGTACTTAATGCTCTTGATATAGAGATAGTCAATATGAAAATTGCAGCGAAACCTTGACCACCTGTAACCATCCAAAATTGGTTATCAGCCCTACAGGACCATTGGCTGCCTTAGTGGTTGTAAACCTCAGACATGAAATATGAAGAAAGCATATCCCCCTATAGTGTGTACTTTCAATTCTGTCAGGAGCACTAAATGTAATTTCTGTCTCTTATCTGCATAAATCACTTCTGACAAGTTTTCCTGACACCAAAAGAAAAAAAGTTGACAGAGGAGGGACCTCCAGCAGATTGACAGCTTCAGGTCTGTTCCTGTGAGCTATGTGAAGGGGGGTGCCTCTTCCCCCCCAGTCAGCTCTCCTCAGTCTGCAGTGTGTAATTTCAGCTCTCCACCCCCTTTTCACTGAACTCTCATACAAGCTTTATAAATGCAGCACTTTGAACAGATGTAGAGATGAGAATGCTGCTAGTAAACAGGTACAACTTAAGTTGGAGGATTTGTTTAATCTGTGTTTCACTTGAGGCCAGTCACTTCACTAGGTATATATGTAAAGGTTTACAACCACTTTAACTGTAAAGTGGAGTGCAGGGGAATAAACTGTGTTGGCACTGCAGCTTTCAGTCAGGACAAGAGCTCTGTGGATCAAAAAGAATTGTAGCCATCTACTTCACCCTGATGCATAGATTTAAAAATATAGAACTGCGCAATATCACAGTCCTGCTTTAAGTCACTGTAGGCCGCCATTACTAGTATAAGAAAAAAAAGTTTATATATATAAAATCTATCTCTATACAAACATGCACCGTAGTTTGTAGACGCTATATCTTTAGCACAAACCAATCATAAAACGCTTATTGGGATTATTTTTTACCAAAAATTTGTACCAGAATACATTTTGGCTTGAATTTATGAAGACTTTTTTTTGTAATTTATACCTTTTTTCATTTATAACGCAAAAATTAAAAAAAAAAAAAAAGCAGGTGAACAAATACCCCCCACAAAGAGCTCTACATGTGGGGAAAAAAATGATATAAATTTAATTTAAGTACAGCGTTGCATGAGCTTGCAATTGTCAGTCAAAGTAACGCAGTGTCGTATAGCTTGGCCTGGTTACGAAGGGGGGTAAATCTTCCGGAGCTAAATTGGTTAAAGTAGTGTCAACACTAAAGTCTCACGACTGATCTTGTCATTACTTGTGTAGGCTACAGAGATTACCTTGTATAGGGTTTTTAGGAGCTCAAGCACTTGAATTTTACATTCATTGGTATGCCTTGGCTGTCATTCCCTTGTTACCAGCACATCTATAAATACACAAATATTACTTCCTTTCTTATCCTCTCTTCACCAACCATTTAAAAGTTGAGCAAATAATACTAACTTTCTTCTGAAACCCACACCACTCTGTATGTGCTGTCCCCTTTGCTTTTCTAAGTGGAGATTAATGGTAAACTATAAAAAAAAGTTGCCTAAGTTGCAGCACCTGTTCTCTGTGGCTGCTGTTCCCCTCTTACTCCTGTCACATTAGCCCTCTGCTTATCAAAGTGATGGTGCAGCCGAGGCATGCTACATTGTAACGATCAAACTGTTATCTAGCATTCCATGAACATTCTTCTTTTTCAGGGTCTAATAACGTTTATTCCTTGGCCTCATGTGTGAATTATGTGGTGTATGTGAAGAGGCTTAAACTTTGTTTCCAGTATTCTTTGATGGATGCTGAGGCTCCTGAACTTTTTCTCTCTCTTCCCCCTTCTTTAAAGGCTTGCAGGAATGTTATTGTTGACCTTGACACCAGATAACTGGGCAGACATTATATAGCTATGTTTGAATCCTCCCAAAATGTGATGCTGAAGCCAACAGAGTCCTGGCGTGAAACCCTTCTTGACAGTAGAGTCATGGAGCTGTTCTTCACAGTAAGTCCTAGATTTCTTTGCCTGTTGCATGTTTGTGTGAACATTTATGCTAAGTGAGAGTGCCATTTTGCCTAGATGACATGTCTTTTAGTACCCGAAGTATGAATTGAATTCCGCTTTTTTTTTTTTTTTTTTAAATACGTTAAACTGTATTTTTATTACAGTAGCATGAGTACGCAGAGACATTATTTCAACATTTGGTAGTCTTTGTAGAGTTTTGGAATAGCTTTTTAAACACAGCTTGTATTTTGATTTTTTTTTTCTTTATATTTTGTGGGTTTTTTTTTATGGTTTATTTTAACTTTTTCACCGGTTATTATGTCTTCAAAAAGCATATATATATATATATATATATATATATATATATATATATATATATATATATATATATATATATATATATATATATATATATACACACACACACACACACACACACACACACACACACACACACACACACACACACACACACTCACTCACTCTGTATATGCTAAAAAGCGCTAAATCAAGCTATGTTTACAAAAAAAAAAGCAAAAAAGCAACACAATGAGAGAAATGCAAGATAAAACACTGTGTGGTATAATTTCCTGTCTTAAAGAAAAAAAAAAAAGTCTGTAGTAATTGCTCACTTTAGACCATACTCTTAAGCGTTTATACAAAAGTTAAATGTATGTTTTTCTGTGTGCTTGGAGGTACTATCCCTTAGTCAATCAGACAGAAATAAATGTACAGTGCTGTTTAAGTACACATGGGCCTTTCTATCACTAAAAGGAATAGAAGTAACACTTGTCAAAAAAATAGCAATAGACTACACATGACTATACAGACTACATGAAATAGATGTAGAAGAAAACACTACAGTTGAAAAGAATACAAGTTATAGCAGAATACTAATATCTTAAAAATGAATATTCTTTTCTCTTTTAAAAAGAACTGAGTTGTTTGAGTTTTTGTAATGTTTCGTATAAACCTGTCTTAAGTTTTTTTTTATAATATTTTTTCTTTTTTGGCCTAGCTTACCTGAGCATTTTTTTGTTCATGAATATAAGGCACTGTTCACATATGTTTTCATCCGTAATATATTTTTTAATTAAGTAATTGTACGGTGGTTTAAAGGTAAATTATATACAGTGGTTCTTTTGAATAAATATAACATTATCAAGACTTTTGGTAAATTGTTTAGAACTGTTTACATTGGCTACATTGTGACCATTGGAGGAGTCTTTGAAGATTGTTAAACATAATTTTTTGATTGTACATTTTCACCCAAAAAATAGCAAAAAGATTAGTATAGAAATTTCCACCAAAAACAAATATTCATTATACACAGTACTCACTGTGTTTTTTATGTACTCATTGTCTTCTGGCCAGGGTGTTGTAGGTACGATGCCAGTGGTCTGGCCCCTCTTTTTGCCTTCTTAAAGGAGGCTGACAAATGTCCAGGGGTGGGGTTTTAAAAAAAATTAATTTTTAGTACATGGTGTTGCTAATCTCTGGAAAACACTTGCAAAAATAATTTAAAACTTTGTGTAAAATATGTGCATTTTGAAGGAGAAATTATATAGAAACTTTTGGAAATTAATCTTCAACAGTGACTTGCCTTACACCAATTGAGTTCTTAATTTGGCTATATACTGACTTGCAGGATTTTTTTCATCGTTCATCTTTTACTTTGTTAGGATTTGCCTCACTTTCATGCATTTGAATTTATTTAGTTTGGTTTTTGCTCTAAAAATTGGCTGGAATATAATTTATTGTAATTTCAGTCAAGTAACTTAGAATTTCTTTGGTAAATTCTGTAAAATGTTTTCCACATAATTATTTAACCATGTGAAATCTGTGACAAATATACCTTCTATGATAAGAGAACATACGACTGTATGTTGAGGTTGACTTTCCTGGCTTAGCCAGAAAGAAAATTGTATATTACATTTTATGCCTACCCTTGGTGCATTTTTAAATTAAAAATCTAGTTACAGTCTACCATGGGCAGTTTATTCATTATAAAAATTCAAGAGAGTTTTTCGGCATCAAGTGTTTTTTTATTGGTAATTATAAAAGTGTAAATTATGTATGTGTATTTATGCAGATATAACTACTTAACTTTGTATGTATCATAACATTTTTCTCTACTTTCCAGAATTGGTGGTATAAAAAAAAAATCTAAGACCTAATCCATTTGAGTTTTAACCTAGCACAATAATTTCAGGTGTCACTTGGTGAAGTTAATTAACACGCAGACTTACTCGGCAGCAACCATTATAATGAATTTTCATACTGTAAATATCAAATCTTGGCTTAAAAGAAATTTGGACAAAACACATTTTTCTAGACAATGGAAAACAAAAAACTGTTTGTTATATTACCCATTTGACTTTTTAACATCTCGAAGATGTGCTGAATATCTCTATTCCTGGGTTCCCCAGTCTACCTCCTGCCAGGCTGCTGTTCATCTATTCACATTTAGTCTATTTCACAGCTCTAGTGGCCTGCCTATACAGCCCCACATTTATATATCCAAACTCCGCTGCAACTCTTAAATGGCTTAACATAGTTACCTGTATGCTGAAATGTAAAATGTTGTTGAAAACCTTCTATTAGCAGTTCTCCTTTAACCAGATAGCATCAGCAATTGGCTATTCTATTTCTCAGACATGATGTCGTATGTCATCAAAACTAGAAACTCACACCATACTCGGGGTCTCCCCTCTTAATTGTGGACCAATTGGTGTGGTTCCTGATTGTTCGCATGACAGCCAGTCAAGTTGGAGGTTTAGTTAGAAGATAAAGCCTTTTTAGCCTGTAGATTCCACCACAGTCTGAAGATGGTAGTAGTATGTCTTTGTTTAATACTGATATTGCTAGATGCAATTACAGTATTTAATAAAATTACCAAATGTTTTCTAGATTGTTGTCCATATGCCAGCCTATAATAAGACATATGAGCAGAATATTTATTAAAACAGTATATGGAATAAAAGGCGTTATTTAAGTAGGCATATTGGTCATAGGGTTATCCAGCACGTTAACATGCTAGCACTGCCACATTTGAGCTTTAAGACCTCATGGAAGCAGGGGTATTCAGCAAATCCTGCCATGGGAACAAGACCTGGTAGTATTTTGGCTGTCTCAGCCATCTCAGGCAACTGTTCTTGGCACATCGGAAATTTAGCATCAAAACCCACCGCTTTTTTACAATACTGATGTTCTGCTGCCAAACACTACATTACTACAGTATGTCCTGGCATGTAAGCAGAAGATCTGGAGCTTATTTAACCTTTCTGCAGGAACTAATGCTTTAAAACGCTTTAGTGGGTAAAATTGGTGGATTTATGTTTCTAAGCATTAATGCAATGCATGTTTCAGTTTAACCTAATCTTCATAGGACACACAGTGCAGGCTAGATTTCTGATTTATCACACAAACTACCTTGCTCACTTGTCTCCTGCCCTCTTGTCTGTGAGACAGGTTTAAAAAATAAATGATTTTAATTTTTCACTAATAAATTCCATTTGCCTTACATATTTAGTGCACATTTGACCAATTGAGTCAGATTTGCTGCGGAACGGAACATCTGGATTTCTTTCTTTAATTTGTCATCCAGGTCTCACTTGCAAACACCAGCACCAGTCACTGTGAAACATGCTGTGGCAGATCATGGATTTTATACATGACAAATTTTGCTATGAGGTGATGTTGGTCTTGGAAAACTTTCAGACTGAGGTATATATTTGTTGCTTGCTATATCTGTATTTTTGCTTGCACTGCTCTTGTTTTCAAAAGGAAAATCCCAAACCAATGATATTCTGGGGCAATAAGTAGGTAATGGAATATCCCATAACATCTCAAAAATTACTTAAATCACTACAGACCAATTATGATGCATTTTTGAAGTACAAATATTATACTTTACCAGATTTAAAATATTAATATTTTAATGTAAAATTATATTAAAATATTAACTCCTTTTGAGTAGAACAACATAATTTCTGCCTCATACATTCTCTCAACATTATAAATATATGAATATATAGTCCCTGTAGAAATAATTCCATATATATGTATATATATATAATGTATTACATCAAATCCATCAAGCACATATCTTTTTTTTCATTGATCCAGTCATATAGGCTTGCTTGTCGAAAAGGAGAGTAGCTTTTGTTTGTCATGTTCATTAACATCTTGTAATGACATTTCATAACAATTGTGTAATACTTTTTACCTTTTTTTTAAATAGCATTAACCACTTGCCCTCTAGAGGATTTACCCCCCTTCCTGACCAGGCCATTTTTTGCGTTACAGCGCTACGTTACTTTAACTGACAATTGCACCCAAATTACATTTACGTACTTTTTTTCCACAGAGATTTCTTTCGGTGGTGATTGACTGCCTGTGTGTGTATGTGTTTTTTTGTTTCGTTTTTTTGTTAATGTTTTGCGCTGTAAACAAAAAACGTCTGACAATTTTGAGAAAAAAAACAATACATTTGACTTTTTGCTATTAAACATGTTCAATAAAAATATTTTCCAAATCAAATTTCTTCATAAATGTAGGCCAAAATGCATTCTGCTACATTTCTTTGCTAAAAAAAAAAATCCCAATATGTGTAAATTAATTGGTTTGCGTGAAAGTTATAGCGTTTACAAATGGCGGTACATATACTGGAAAATTTTTTTTTTAAATTTTTGCTAATAATAGCGGCGATCAGCTACTTATAGCAGGACTGCGGCGGGCATTCTAAAACTAGGAGGAACTGACTTGGTGTCACTGACATCCCCAGTGACACCAATACAATGATCAGTGCTAATAAAAATCACTGATGCTGTACTTTATTGTACTGAGGAGGAAGGGGTTAACATATGGGGCGATCAAGGGGTTAACTGTGTGTGTTCTTTCAGCTATAAGCACACTGTTTTGTATGGCTATACAGAGCCATACAGAGCAGTGTGCAGGAGCTGACGGGAGAGAATTGTCGTTTACATACAGTTCTCTCC